TTTCAGGGGTCCAAAGGCTGTCTGTCTAGTTATGCTGTTGCAAATTGTGGTTCATGTTGGGGTTTTTTCTTTTTTAGGTATTCGAGCAACTGACTTTTTTGGAGCTTTCTATATGAGCAACACAACCGATGTAGAGATGGCAGGTCTGGACTGCGATAAAACGATCACAGTGGAATTCAAGCACGATGACAAACTGAGTGAAGACAGTGGTGCGCTCCTGCAGGTGAGGGGGTGGGCTTGCTGGGAGAAAGAACCAAGTTGGCAATGTAGTATTGTCAACAAAACTGCGTCAAGGGGAATCAAATCTCAGCTGGGGAGAGTGCCAGTTGCAGAAGAGAACGAGGTTGGTCTGAGCTGAATTATTAGACACTCCTTCAAGGAACTGTTTGTCCTTTCCCTCTGCCCCTTACTATGCCCTTAACCGTTCAGTGTAGTTGTTCTCAGGGTGACATAGGCTGCTTCAGACCTACACAGTCTGTTTTCGGAGACCACTTGCCTTAATACAAACTGCTTACATTGCTGCTTGTTACCCTTCACTGACCCTGATTCTGAGCATATGCTTTTAGCTTATTGCACAAGTCTTTTACAATCATTATCTGATTTGCTTAGGCGTCCGAGTTATGGCTTTTAATGAAGTGTATTCAAATCCTGCCTTTCTTCTTATAGCTGGACCTCATTTTTCTGTATCCTGGCACTTTTGTCTCCTACAGTGTGCTCTCTTATACACAAGTTGTGCAGGACAGCGACGACTCCGCATTCACAACCTCTCCTTAAACTGTTGCACGCAGCTGGCTGACCTCTATCGAAATTGTGAGACAGACACGCTCATCAATTACTTGGCTAAATATGGTAAGGGCAAATATGGTAACAAGAATTGCAACCTTTAACTGCTGTCAAAAGGCCTGTTGTCATGCAGTGACACCTCTCTTTGTATCAAATGTCAGGTGGCAATACTGATGCTTCAGTCATTTATGGGAAAGAGCATAAAGCTGTGATGATAGTACTGTTGCTTGGGACGAGAGGAACAGGTAGAGGGTGTAGGCTTATCCTTCGTACAAATTTTTGTCTGAGTATTTTTAATAGAGGTTCGTATTGACAGCTGCTTGAATTCATCATTATATTTGTTTTTGGACTGGTTTAGTTCGTTCTTCAACTGTTCCAGAATTTTGCTTTGGGAATAGGAAATGTTGGCCTTTGCTCATAGATCTGGGTTAAATATTGTGCTTTTATGCATCGTACCATATTTCGCCTTTCTAGTTTGCAGTAAAAGCTTACACATCCAGCAGAGATTCAGAGAAGTGTATGTTTGTTGCCATTAAAATGTAAGAAACAGTCTATTTTCAGTGCACTGAAGAAAGAACCAGGCTACAAAAGGTGATTTTTATAGCACCCCATGCTTTCAAGTATGACGAAGTGTATTTTAAAGTACATGGCAGAAACAGAGTTGAAGAATATGTAATAAAATGAGTAAATGAGCCGCTTCAGGTATTCAGTAGGCATGTGTCATCTCTTTCCTACAAGTTTGAAGGGGAGGGGGGAAAAAAGACTTTCATAAACCATAGCTGTTTAGATGCACCTTGTAGAAATAGTGTTGGGTTTTTTACTGTTCATAAGCAATCACTTGATGGCCGTCCATTTTGTTCCTCTTTCCGTGCAGCATATCGTGGAGTTCTGAGTAGTCCAGTAAAGACTGTACGAGATGCGCTGATCAACCAGTGTGCCCAGATCCTAGCTTGCTATCGAAAGAACTGTGCTAGTCCCTCTTCTGCCGGCCAGGTAAACTCCAGTGCTTTCACTCGAGTCACAGGCTCAGGCATGAAAAGGTGGTGACAGCTTCTTCCTACCTAACCTACTCAAAAAAAGTCAACTGCTTTGCTCAGCAGAAATTTTCAAAGAGAGTACTCGGGGAAGGAGAGAGACTGCAAGTAGAACTATAGTTGAGAATGGCTTCTGGGGCCTTGTCTGGAGCCCAGACAGCGCTGCCTATGCCAGGGAAAAGTTCTATGTCATTTTTGCAAGTCCGTGATGCAATTAGACTGTCGGCTTTCCCTCCTTACAGCCGTACTGTGCTTTGTTGGTTCACGCAAGTCATGTTTGACAAAACGAGGGCTTATTCAGCGAGACAGCTGACCAATTTCCATCTGCTTGTGCCTTGTAGCTGATCCTCCCTGAATGCATGAAGCTGCTTCCTGTGTACTTGAATTGCGTGCTGAAGAGTGACGTCCTTCAGCCTGGGCTGGAGGTCACCACAGATGACCGTGCCTACATTCGCCAGTTAGTCACATCCATGGACGTGGCAGAAACAAACGTCTTCTTTTATCCCAGGCTTTTGCCCCTGGTGAGTAGTTCAGGATATCCTGACCACTGCAGACTTGCTGTTGTCTTGACTCGTCGCTAGAACTGGCATTTGTATTTTAGCGAGGGAAAGCGATTTGAGAAGGATTTGGGATCTGCCGTCTGCTGGGATGCTTCACTTAATTCCGCTCGGTTGTAGGTGCATTACTGCATCTTGCGAGTTTGCCAAGGGATTTTTTTCTGAGCTGTGAGCATGTGGCTAGTGGCAAAGACGACACTTCTGACCCTCTCATAATCTTTCGAAAAGTCCTAAAGCCTCTTGTAACTTTAGTAATTTTCGTCATTGCAGGGCAACTCCACGTACTGTTCTGACTTACCAGTACCGTAGCTGCTGGAATAACACTGACAACTGCTTACATTCCTAATCCAGGAGCCAATACTGGAACTACAGAGTAATTTCACAGCAGCCTTCCGTTCTCTCTTGCTAACCAAGAGTCTCTGATCGCTTATGTTCAGTAAGAGAGCTAAGCTAAGGAAGATGATGCTTCAGTCACAGCTACTGCAGTGTTATGAGTCCTAGAAATGAGAAAACCATTGGGCTCTTGGTGGCAAAAGTTTTCAGGACTTCATAAGATGTTCTTGGTTTATAACCTTGATTTTATTCTTATTTTTTATTTCACTCTAAACCAGACCAAAGCAGATGTTGACAGCGACTCCTTGCCAGCAGCGATCCGGAACTCGGAGGAACGTCTCTCCAAGGGCGACATATACCTGCTGGAGAACGGGCTGAACATCTTCGTGTGGGTGGGAGTCAACGTGCAGCAAGGCCTGATCCAGAACCTCTTCGGAGTGTCATCCTTCAGTCAGATCAGCAATGCCTTGGTGAGACAGGGGGTGGCGCGGGAGCCTGTGACTGTGATAGCCACCCAAAAACTTACCACAGCGAGAAAGCAAGTTAAAAAATAGTGTTAAATTTTTCACAGTAGGAACAAGAGAAGCACAGGTCTGTGAAACTAGGGGAACGCCCTTAGGCTGGGGCCTACCGACTGTGCTTTTGCCGAGCTTAGTTTGACGCACCACACTTGCACTGACGGTGCAGGGAACAGTGGATATGTAAATAGCACCAAGAATTGACCTTTAATTTTGAGACCACGTTATATTCTCTTTTCACGAGTTGAGCACAACGAGATTGTGTGTTCATGGTGGTAGATGTGTCTCTACCCTTACGTAACAGGACCAAACTGCTGAGTTCTGTTTCGTGTTGCCCTGCTTCACGTGACTAATGAGGACTGGATCTCTTTCATTCCAGAGCACCCTGCCTGTCTTGGAAAACCCCTTTTCAAAGAAAGTACGGTCTATTATTGACATGCTTCAAGTGCAGAGATCCCGCTACATGAAGGTAAAAATGTTGTTCCCTATTCGTAGCTTTAAATCCCCTTCCCTTTTAGCAGAGCAGGTGATGCCTGGTAACGCTGCAGTGCTGAACTTCTTCCTGATCTCATAAATGTGATTGAAACAAAGTTTTCAAGGATCTGAAAAAAATGTTGTTACTAGTTTTGGAGTTCTGTGCTTACCATAGTTCTAAATTTTTTCAGACTTGTTACAATATACTACTGCACAAATGACGTATGTGGTATTTTCCTTCTACTTAGCAAGGATTGAGGCTTCACCCAGCTTAGAAAGCACAGAAGCCATACACGCTGGAGTTCTGGTTATCTCTCTTTGGGATTTTTGAGCTATTTAGCTTTTTGCTCTTTTTTTTTTTTTCCACAAGCACATTAATTCTGCTAACTACTCACTGTTGGTGTTGTTTTGGTTTTTTGTAGTTAATAATTGTGAAGCAAGAAGATAAGCTGGAAATGCTCTTCAAGCACTTTCTGGTGGAGGACAAGAGCCTGAGCGGGGGGGCTTCGTACGTGGACTTCCTGTGTCACATGCACAAGGAGATTCGGCAGCTACTGAGCTAGAGGAGGGAGCGGGGCTGGAACTCGGCAGTGACGTTTTGGTTTCCACCGATGACCTGATCGGATGGCCCAGTGCCCCTCAAAAAGGACAACGTAGAAATCTGTACAATTCCATAATTTTTAATACACATTGCATAAGCAGAAATCCTTTCAAACTCTCCCGGTCCCGTATGAGAGATGAAAAATTTTCCTGGTGAGGGCTAACAAAAAAAAAAAAAAAAGGCCTTTGATACCAGGTCTTTTACTTGTATCTAAATTGTTTCCTGTGCTTGGCAGGAGTTCACCCCCCACCCTGTGCTCGCTAATCCTGTCATAATGAATGTAGTTTTTTTTTTCCAGTTCACTGTACATGATTCAACATTGGGTGAAAAAGCGATAACTCTTCAAAACTTCTGGTAGTCGTTGTGTGTTTGTACAGGCGCGTGTGCATGCTCCAGGTGTGAAGAGGACGCGCCGGTGGGGAGGACGAGAGGCAGGTCAGGCGATGGGAGCTGCGGCAGCCAAACGTCTGGCGTCTCCTGCTTGTAAGAGGAAACCCAATGTCGCAGAGCGCAGACGTATCGCCTGGCTGCCTGAACCAGAAACCCGCCAAAAAGGAAATGAGTGGCGAGCCCGGAGGCAGCAGGGCACGTTTCTGTCCACAGTCTTCCCTGTACTTTAAGTTGCTGTGCAGATCTGTGACAGAGTGAAGGAACAGTGCAGTGAGCAACGTCAGCGCTTCTGAACGACGCAGGGGTAGAGATGGCGCTTGCTGTTCGCGTGCATGGCAACTCCTTTCCCTCTCATCGCACGGCTCGCTCCATGTTCCGTGGCCTCTCCTGCAGAGCCGACCTGTCTGTCCAGATGGTGGTGGGGACAAAAGCCTCTTAACCTTAAGCAGAAAATACTTCTAACCAGGCGATGCAGGGCTGTGTGGGAACTGGATGTTAAGGAATGGCCATTTTCAGCCATATTATTGTGAATTATAGCAAACACGCAGGAATTTGAGTTACACTGATGCAAATTTGAGACTGCTTTGTACCCTGGCACACAAGGAACGGGGATACAAAAGCGAAGAGTTAGGCTGTGCTGTCATAGGTATCGCAAGTACCTGGTTTCGGTTCTTGAAAGCCCCTGGGCCACAGCGAAGAGTTCCATCACTGGCTGTGTCTGCCCTCCCCCATTCTACCCACTGATCAGCTTGCACAAAACCTTTTTGTAAGCCTGTTTGTGAAACTGAAATACCTCAGACGGATTACGCCATCCGCTCTGGCCACTCTGCTGCTCCATTCTGTGAGGGCGGATGGGGAGACTCCCGCGAAGAGGGAGCGAGCTGTAAATCGAATCCTGAATCCTAAGGGCTTCGTTTATTCCCTCTGAAAGGAGGCGTGTGTGTTTTGGCTTGAACGCTGAACAAGTGTTCTGACAGTGCCCGGGAGTTTAAGCCACCAGTAGCGCTGAAAGTGGAAGGAAGAATGTGGCTGGGTTAGAGCACATATTGTCTGGGCTCGACGGTTCAGAGGAAAGTCCTTGTTAAGGTCAGAAAAATACCTGGCTATGGTTTTAGTTCCGTACCCTGTAGCATGTATATAAACCCATTTTTTTCTTCTAATGCTGCTAGTTTGTCTTCCCTCCCCCCCATCGCTACACAGAAAGGGGGCGTATGACAACTGCGATGGAGAAACTGTTTCAAGATGTGGCTGACAGAACCTTCAGCGTTTTTGTACGAATGCGGCTGACTTTTTACTCCGCCAACTGCCTCCAACCAAACAAGCCAGAGGATTTTTAACTGGAGAGGAAAAAAACTTCCCAGGAACATAAGGCACAGCAACCCCAGACTTCCACAACTAATCTCTAATATTCGTAATCGAGGGGGTGGGGGTTGGAAATGAAATCCTGAAAGAACCTTTCCTTTCCTTCACTTGTTTTTTCCAATGCATCTTTTAATTTGTAAAGAAATAAAAAAATATATTAAGATGTATTTTATGTCATTGTTAGTAAATAAACACTGCTTATTTTTTTCCAAACCCTGTATTTTGCGGGAGGGAGGGAGGAAGGGGGAAGGGCTGAAGTCTAGCTGGTTGATCCTTTCCAATCCCATCTTCTGCTGACTGAGTCCAGTCTTTTTTGGTTTTTAATTGTTACTCACAGGGAATGATGCCAAGAAATTCAACAGGAGGTAACGGACAAAAGATGCTGTTTAATCAGACTAGTGTTACTTTGCTTAAATGATTGTTTTTTAACTTTCCGCCCCTTTTGAGCTTTCATTTTGCGAAGAGCTTTCCTGTTTCTCTAACACGGCGCGAGTCGGATTGGCTGGGGTGTTTTGGGTCCTTTGGAAAGTGTCACCCTTTCCTTGTGCCAGTGTTAACGTCAAGGCTTCTCCGGTCTGAATTGTTCAGAGAAATGGAGCTCCAGGTCAGAGGTAGGAGAGCAGGGAAGGGGTGGGAGTGCTAATTGCAAAACACAGCTCGGGGTGAAGGGGCGGTGTAACGCCATTGATGTTACAACACCGGCGTTGTGCCGTTTGCTGATAACCTCACAGCACTCGCTGCCAACTACCTGGCAGTGCTTTATGTGTGGCAGCGTGCTGCCGAGAGGCCTCTCCTCCAGATCCTACGTTATGTCCAGAAAGTGGGACGCTGGGGTAATGGCGGGGCCCGTCCCCCCCC